GTCCGGGGTCGGAGTGAGTCCCCCCGTGTGAGAGTGGTCCCCACCCCACCTGTCCTCCCTGCTCCCGCGTGACCTGTCTTCTGCTCTGCCCCCGATGCTGACGCGGGGTGCTGCTTCCCTCGTGCAGCGTCCTCGGTGTCGCTGTACCGCGGGGAGAGGATGCGAAGCGGGGAAGGACCACCTGGCCCTTAGGCCTCTTCATGCCCCTGTTCCCTGCACACCACCCCTCCGTCCCGGGACCCCACGGCTCCCCTTTGCAGCCGGGGCTCAGGGCGACCTGCCTGAGGCCTGCCCGGTGGCTTCCGCCCCTGACCCTGGGTCCTGTCCCCTTCAGGTCCTAGAGGTACATGAGAACCTGGACCGGCAGCTCCAGGACAGCTGTGAGGAGGACCTGAGTGAGAAGGAGAAGGCCATCGTCCGAGAGATGTGCAACGTGAGCCTCCTGGGGCCCGGGCCGGGGGTGACCTGGGCGGGCCCTGTGCGGCCATTACTCTCCCAGGAGGGGCTGGTGACCTGGGGGCTGGGAGCAGGTGCTGGGGCTTCGGGAGCCCTGGCCTCTCTTTGTCCGCTTGACTTCCTCCCCCCTCCCGCCTCCCTTCCCTCTTCCCTTCCCCTCCCCTCCCCCTTTCCTTTTCCTCCCCTCCCTCTCTCTCCTTTCCCCTCCTTCTTTCCTTCCCCCCTTCCCTCCCCAAGAACAGGGTCCCTGATCTCTGGTCTTGCTCGCCCCATTTATCCTGACCCTTGGCCCCTGTCCCCTGATGTCTGTCTGGCTCCCAGCCTCCCAGCATGCTGGTGCCCCTGCTGGCTGCCAGCGCACAGGTGCTGTTCACGGGGGTGCAGGCGGAACCCTCCATTCTGCAGGACGCCCCACCCTGGAGCTAGCTGCCTTGGCTTCTGGAAGCTGGGCTTCTCTGGGTCTTTGGGGAGGCAGAGCGTCATCCCCCGACCTGCCTGGCCAATACGCGTGGTCTCCTTGGACTCGTGAGGGAGCCAGCAGGGAAGGTGGATCACGGGGCTGCACCTGGGCCTCGCTTGGGGTGAGGTGTCCCGAATCCCCCTCCTCTGCTGCCTCCTGGGTCTGTAGGCCCCACTGGACAGCCGCGAGGCCAAGTCTGCCCCCAGATGTGACCTGCTCGGGGTGGGAGGTGTGGTTGTGAAGGGTAGACATGCAAAGACGTACTCTGAGGGTCTCTGGGCCTCACGCGGCCTCCGTGTCCCCTCCTGGCCCCATGGCTCTCGGGACGCAGGTGATTCTGAAGAGCGATGGGGCAGTCTGTGCGCACAGGCCCCTGGGCAGGCTTGGGATGGGCCCTCCACTCACAGCTCGCCCCTCCCCACAGGTGGTCTGGAGAAAACTGGGAGATGCCGCCAGCTCCAAGCCCTCCATCCGGCAGCACCTGTCTGGAAACCAGTTCAAAGGGCCTTTGTAGGGCCGTTCCCCCGTGGACGTGGACTGGCCCTGCCTGGGGTCCCCAGACGTGGGCAGGCCCTCGCGCCGAGCCACCGTCTTCTTTTTCCGTGGTGAATTGTACATAGGACGCTGCCTGCTGTGGCCTGGCTGCCGGGGGTGCGACTCCATTTCCCACCTCTCACACACCAGCAAACCGGGAAGTCTGTTCCCCGCAGCAGAGTGGCCTGGACAACCTCCTTCCTGCTCTGGGGCCCGGGCTCTGGGCTCCATTGGCGAGAGGCTGAGGCTGCTCAGAGATGTCCGGCCCAGGAACCGTGCCGGGCTGTGCCCAGCCTTGGTGGAGGGGCACCTCATCAAGACCTCCATCCCCGGCTGCCACCTGTGCTGGACAGAGGCCGCTGGCAGCTGGACTGATGCATGGGGCACCACTTCTGACCCGCCTGCTGTGGCCTGAACACTGGCTCCATAAGCACTGGGTCCCCAGAGTCGTGGACGAGGAAACTCACCCGCGGCCCTTCCTCTGGCCCCAGGGCCCAGCCTCCCCGCTGCCGGCTCTGCTTGTTTTTAGAGTTCACGCCCCTACCCCTGGCCACACACTCTGCAGTGTCCCCTCACCCTGTCCTAGGCTGTGCCCTATCCTTTTGGGTCCCTCCTGCCCAGGGCCCGAGGCACCTCCATTTCTGTGCTTCGCATCATGGGCTGTGTGGAGTCTCTGGGCTGGGCCTCTCTCTCTGCATGGGTGGCACTGGGCCGTGGCCGGGCCTCTGCTCAGGAACGGTTGCCCCCGGAGCTTGGACCCCTCTTGGATCACTGTGGACGGAGTCGCGTGGCCGTAGGTGAAGGAGTTCTGCCCTCCTTGGGAGGAGCCCTGCTTGGCTCTGTTTTCATTTTCCTGTGTGACCCTCAGCAAGTCACTCAGCCTCTCTGGGCCCCTGGTCGGGAAAGGAGGGCTCAGAGGTCCGAGGCCGCCAGTTCTAGTCAGCCTGTGTCCTCACAGCACGCGAGCCAACGGGGTCCTCCTGCTGGAGAGGCGGCTGGTGGGTGGGCTGGGAGGGGCGGAGGCCGCAGCTGAGTTCCGCTGCCTTGCTGCCTCCTCTCGGTGGACGGTCACCTCCCTTCCTGAGCCTCAGAGTCCTCCCCTGCAGAGTGGGCAGCCTAAGGTCCTCCTTGCAGGGCTCTGGGGATCAAGTAAGACCTTCAGTGTAAAAGGATCGTGTATAAACTGTAAAGCGAGACATGTAAATTTTAAAGTTTGTGTGCGAGGGCAGTGAGGCCCCGAGGGCGTAAGTGATCAGTGGCGTATCACAAACGAGATCCCAGAGCCTGGGGGGTGGGGACAGGCCGCTGTTGTAACCAGCCCCCGTCCACCTGCTGTCCGCCGTTCCTCCCCCATCGCTGGACTCCAGTGGTCATTAGAGCTCTGTGCGCGGGCGAGCGAAGAGCCCGAGAGGCTGGCTTGGCATCGGACAGGCCTCATCCGAGGCTCGCGCGAGGGATGGGGACCAGGTGAGGGGACGGACGAGGCTGACCCGTCCCTCTCCCCAGCGGGGACGCTGAGCCGTCCCCACCGCCTGTCTGCCATCGGCACCCTTGGGTCGACACTCAGGGGAAAGGCCCGCGGCCCTCACTGTGCCCGAGGAGTGCTGAACGGGTGCCGGTGACGGCGTCGGGCACGGTCCTCTTGCCCTGGGTGTTACGGGAAGCTATGGGCTCTCTGGAAGGAGCTGGTCCCTAGGTCATGTGGTGAGTTCCCTGTCCCTAGGGGTGTGCACTTGGAGCTGGGTGAACATCCTTGGTCACGTTCTGGGTGACTTCTGCCCGGGTGGGCAGTCAGCTGGAGGGCAGAGGCCCCCTCCCGGGTCTTGGAGTCCAAAGAACCATGGAGCAGCTCGAGGGGGGCCTGGGTCTCTTGGGTGGGAGCCACATCTGAGAACCCGTGTGTCACGTCTGGGTCAGGCTGGCTTGGCCACCACTGAAAATAAGCAATAAGTCAGGTGTCCTGGTGACTGCAGGTCTCCTGCAAACTGACCCAGGGAAGAACAGCCTCCAAGGGACCTTTCCCTGCCAGAGGGAGGTGACCCTGTCCCCTAGTGCTGCGGTGGCGTCCGGGGAGTGGGTCAGGCGTTCCCTCCAGAAGCAGCCTACCCCCCGCCATGAAGGCAGCACCAGCCGGTGCCGACGTCTCCTTCCTGCCCCTGCCTGTGTCCCGGAGCCAGCACTGCATGGGAATGGCTTTTGAGGACAGAATCGTACCTGTGACGGCATCTCTTTTAACGTAAGCTGTCGAAAAGCCTGCAGCGCCTCTGCGCGCCCCATGCCGGCCTGGGGCCCAGCTGCAGCGGGAGCCCACGGCTGGGAGGAGGGTCCTGGGGGCCAGCTCGGGGTGAGTCCCTGCTCTGCCACTAGCAGGGAGTGTGCAGGGGGTGACACTGGCGAACCTCCCATCTGGAGCCTCAGCTCAGAGAGCTCGTGGTGGGGCGTTGCTGAACCTGATGTCCTTTCATAAACACACTGTTTCTAGCGCCCGAAGCCCCGTGTGACACCTGTGCTGTGGCTTCCTTTCCCACTGTGATGGATGTCACCCTTCCAGCCTCATCCCAGGTGGCCAAGCCCATCCTGGAGTCGGAATCCACTGAGCACATTTTTATCCAAAAGTTATTAGCCACACATCAGTGTTGTTTAAAGAGAAAAAAGTGACCTTTTTTTTTTTCTTGAAAACTTGAGAGGAAACAATACATACTACTGACTTTTTTTTTTTTTTAAGAAACAAAGGAAATGCATGACTGCAGAGCGGGAGAGGTGTATATTTCTCATAACGTGGGGGAAGTACTTGTGCTGCTCTCTGGGAATGGGCGGACCGCCTGGCCCCTGGCCCCAGGCCGGCAGCCGCACTCTATCTACCTTCTGTCGGATGTGACCGCCCGAGTACTGGGGCCGCCCCCTCCCCAGCTCTGGGCAGAGCTGGGAGCCCTGGACTCCTGTGCCCGTTTCTACCTTCTATTGAACCACTTTGATTTGGGGAGAGAAAAAAAAAATTAGAACTTTTTGATAGTGTGGTAAAAACATTGATTTGAACTATTTTAGTAAAAGGAGTAACAGAGAAGATTGTGATAGTGTATACTTTGCGCTAGATAAATAAAGGCTCTTTGCAAGCCTCCGTGGTGGGTACGCAGTGCTCATTTGTTTTGGGTGATGGGGCCCCTCAGGGTGGATGGTGGGGGCCGCTGACTGCTGCTCCATGGCCTCTAGTCATAGGCCAGAAATGCAAAGCATTTCAAATCCAAACCCTGGTCTAACCCAGGACCCTGTCTATTGGAGGGACACTGACAGTTCCAAACCAGCTTGAAATTCAACTGCTTCCTCCCAAGAAAGTCCATGCAGGCACTGGACGTGGGAGGCTGCCCCATGAGGGTACTGCCCGGGGAAGGGCTTGGGTCTGGCCGGTGGCCAGGCCTCTCCTGGGCAGCGTTCCTCCACTGCCTGCTGCTTGGCCCCCAGGGTCCAGAAGAAGATCTGCTTCTGGGCTGCAAACCCAGGGGCTGCTAAGGCTTGGAGCCCCACCTCGTGCCCGTAACAAACAAAGGCGTCATTTCAGAACTGATTTTATTTGGGTAACTGACTGAAGGAGTCTCATTTGTAACCAAGATGGAATTCACAGTATGTTGTTACATTCACACTTAAAAAATATATCTCTATGTACAGGAATTTGCAAATTGATGTAAACATACATTACTTCCAAGTACATTTCTCCCCTTCTTCCTGGAGGAAAAAGAATAGAGCCATCCAGCAAGTCAACCCCTTCAAAATAACTTAAACGCAAAGGATGTAAGTATCTCTAAATCAAAAATGTGGTTCAATTGACCTACAAGTGTAATGGGAGAGAACGTCATGGAATGACAGCAATGACAACAGCTTGACTTCAGATGGAACCGGACTATTTAAAATGGCGTTTCCAGGAAAAATAGGCACTGATTTCTAGAAGGAAATTCACTCCTTACTGAAGCTATTTATTGAGCCAATATGGCTGGTTAACATTCTCACTAGTGTAAAGTAACTCAGCGCAGGACTCGCGGACGACGCTGGTTGAGACCAAACGCACAGTCGGGTCACAACCGGCTCTGCCTGGGCTCCAGTGAGAGCTGCTGTCCCCACTCCCCAGATGTGGAGGACCACCCCAATTTCATCTTGGGGGTCCGGTCCATTTCTTCCCATACTACAACTGTGTAGCATTATACAAGGTACCCCTGCGGCTTACCCACTTAAACTACTTTTCAAGTTAATTAGAAAAACTTTTCTTTAAAAAACGAAGAAAGAAGGGCGCCAGGTTACCTCATCCAGGCTGCCCGCCCCAGCCCCCCGACTGGAGGCATGCCAGGTGGCGGGATGGGCGGGGGCACAGGCGGCTGCCCTCCAGGGGGCACAGCTGGAGGCGGGTAGCTAGCCGGTGGCAGGCCCAGGCCTGGAGGAGGGTGAGGGGGCACTGCGTGGGTGGGCGGCATGCGGGGGGGGGGCGGCGGGAAATTGGGGGTGTAGGTGGGCGGGGGGGGGGGGTGGCGAGGGGGGGGGGGGGGGGGGGCGGGTGGCGGGAAGGAGGCTGGCGGCGGTGGCACGGGCGGCGGGGGCGGGTTCGGGGGGTAGACGTGGGGGTGATAGGGCAGGTGAGTCGGCGGGCCGTAGGCGGGGGGCAGAGCCCCGTAGGAGGGGCCCTCGGTCTTCATCATGGACTGGAGGCTCTGGTAGCCCTCTCCGGACATGTAGGAGCTGCTGGTAGACATGCCGGTGATGTAGCTGGAGGGCGGCGGGGGCGGGGGCCGGTGTGGCAGTGGCGGAGGCTGGTGCACGGGGGCCGGGTGGGCCGGAGGGGGGATCTGGACTTTGGGGAGGTCGCCGGCTTCCACGGGGCCTGGCGGCTCAGCCTCACCCAAGGCGGCTGCGAGGGGTGGCTTCCGGTCTGCAGAAGGGAGACAGGCCACTGCCAGCTCTGGGACGGCTCCGGGCAGGGCGCCCCCGGGGGCTGTGCGTGTAGGGGGGGGATCCACCAACTCCCTCGGGGAAGGGAAGCCCCCCCCCACCCCGACAGCTCACGGCCACTCCGGGGGTTCCTGGCCCTTTCACAGCACCGTGGGCCGTCTTCCAGAGGAGCGGCAAGCAGCTGTCACCTTTGTGGCCAGACAGCACGGCCTGCGCCCGTGTCCCGAAGCCAGCGGCTCATGTGCTGTCACGCAGGCCCTGCACCTTGCCTCCAGCCACTCTGGGTGTTCCCTCCCCGCTCCCCAGCGCACCAGGCACGGGCAGTCCCGGGGGCACACGGAGTCCCTTCCGCCCAGACCCCCAGCCCTCTTTCTAGTACAGACGTGCGCGGGGCCCCTTCCTTCTGCCTGTCTTGCCTCCAGAGGCTGTGAGCCCAGGGCCAGGACGCAGCACCGTCTGCGGGTGGCACTGGCATTTGGCAGGACGCCTGAGAGGTGGTCACACGAGTGACGTGGCGTTAAACACACGCCGGGACGGCCTCTGACACCCCCAACGGCCCATGTGAGCGGCATTCCGGCCCGTGCCCTGTGTGGCGGGGGCACCGCTCCCCGCCCTGGCTCCCTGGCGGCCAGCAGCTGACCGGGAGAGCTGAAGCCCCCAGAAGCTCAGAAGTCGCTGGAGTATCTCCCACCTTCTGGCACACACACCCTAACTCCTGCCTTCTCTAGTTGGACACTTCACCTTCCAAAGTGTCACCACAGCTGAAGAATGAAAGTTCTTTACAACTTTTCTCCTCTATTTTTAATGATGCTGAGGCAGCGTCCCAGTTCACTGTGTGCCTGTGAAGGCCTTTTCACTCTATTCTCCACATGACTCCATGAACAACTGCTTACTCTCCAAAGGGTACTGAGAAGACGCCCTGCCAACGGGAAGCTGATGCGAGAGCCTGGAGTCTAAGGTCAACAGCGATCTGCCCAGATCTCGACAATGTTCCTAAGTTGGCAGGGCTTTTGTTTGCCTAAAACTGATTCTAAAGTCATTTATCCTCCACCATTTCTGGATGTGAGAGGTCAGAGAATATTCAGATATACTTAGAATTCACATCCTCAAGCTATCTGGTTGTAAAAAAACCAATTTTTTGAAAAATCCTAGGTCATTAACGGCTCTCTAAATTTCTGAAATTCCTCCATAAATCCTCCCCAGGATTTCCCAAGTGTGCCCTTCAAAAAGGCAGCAAGCAAAGCTGGCCCTCCCAGCTGCCTGCAGGCAGCACTCACCTGGAGGTGGATGGGCTGGAGGCAATGGAGGGTGAGGGGGCTCAATTTTGGGAATTTTAGGTGGTGGTGGTTCTGAAAAGAAAAAGTAGATTAAAAAGCTACTCTTCATATAGAATAAGTATGTCAGAGAGAGCGAGAGAGGAGAAGAAGAAAAATGCACTGTTAAGGAATTTTCTGGGGGAAAAGGCTGATATGACCAAGGCTTTAAGGGAAGCTGAGGAAGGCACCAGCTAAACCATCCTTTTAAAAGAACAAAACAAATGAAACAAATACATCCCCCCTCCAGCTCCTGCCACCCCACGCCTCTCGCCTCCTTCCGAAAGTAAAAACCCTCTCGCTTCTTACAGCCCGCCAGCCCATTTTCCACCTCTGCCCAACTTCCTCCTGACCACTTAAGACGAGCCCTCCAATGACACGAGAGCAGCAGACTGCATCTCAGTTACCCAGTGGTACCCGTCAGGGTCCTCACTAACACGCAGAGCACCGAGAAAGGCCCCAAGTGCTCCCAGGAGAAGCCGGCACCTTTTAACTCTTGTCTAGGCACACTTAAGTTTGTTTTCCCTCTCACAAATGTTTACTCCTAGTTATAGCAGCACACCTGAACTGGCGTCGGTAGAGACCTGGAGGCTGGCGAATGGACAGAAAAGCAAGGTAGTTGGGACCGCGTGGGGCAGAGGACAGAGCCCGTCCTTTAGGGTCGAGCAGCTGCATGTAACCAGCATCCTCAGTGACAATCCTAAGTCGCCAAGACAGGCTGCGCACATCCAGCATCTTCCGCTTGTGGCGGCAGAGAGCGTGCGCACTATCAAGAAAGAATGCCATCTTTTCGCTTGCATGGTTTGGTTCTTTCTTCCTGAAACTCACTTTATTGTGGCTCGTACGCTGCTCTGCTCTGCTTCTGCTCTGGCACTGCTCAACGTTCTTGGCTTCCTGTGTCCCAGACACAGGCTGAATTCAAGGTCCAGGGACATCCCTCTCTCTATTCTCTTCCTCAGAGACCAAATCCCCCGTCTCTAGGCAGAGGAGCTGCAGATCTATGCCTCTGCCTTCCATCTCTCCTCCCAAACCGCGGAGCAGGCTCCTGGGCCCCGTCCCGAGACCGAGCAGCCCACCCCTCTCACGCAGGCGCCCCCCTCCAGCCCCTCCCACAGATGGCTGAGCTGAGGTCATCTAGGTCAGTGCTGTCTGACAGAAATATAAGGAGAGCCACACAGGCAATTTTACATCTTCTAGTAGCCACGCTGAAAAGTACAAAGAGGTGAAATTAATTTTAATACGGTCTTTGATTCAACCTGGTATTATCAAGAATTTTGTCATCTTAATGTGGAATCAATGTAGAATTTTATTAATGAGATTTTTAATGTTCTTTTCTCTAACTCTTAGAGATCGGTGTGTCTTCTGCACTGAGGGCACGTGGTATTTTTGGAGTAGGCCACATGTCAAGCGCTCACCAGCCCTCTGCAACCCAGAGAACAGTGGGGTCCTGCTTCCAGGCCCCAAGGCACCCCCGACACCAGGTCTCCCTCCGGGGCTTGCAGGCTCCTCCCCATTCCCCACCCTCTTGCCATTACTGCTGCCAGGGGAACTCTCTCTACAATGAACTCAGACTGTGCCATTCTCCTGCTCAAACGCCTCCACTGGCTCCCCTGCCTATGCAGAATCCACCCTCCACCAGGTGGGCGCTATCACCTGCTTCTAGCACATTTTCAGTCCTAGCAAAAGCTACTCCTTTTTAACCCTTCACAGTCCAGTAAGACTCCCCTCTCTGTTATCTCCCAAATTCTCCACCCCACTGTTCCCTCTGCTCCTCTGCCTGAAGGCTCCACCCTGTCAGTCCGTGTTGCTCAAGGCAAGTCCCCCTCCAAGGCCACCCGGGCTCGTTTCTGCCTCTTGAAGACACAGTGCCAGCTCAGTTGACCCAGCATCCATGTGGCACGGAGTGCAGCCCCCTCTTCTGCATCTCGCACTTACTGTTTGCCCATCTGGAGCTAAAAAAATCTCCCCTGTAATGAACTCATCATCCCCACAAAGATCCTGAGAAAAAGGAGCTTTACTGTAACTTGAAGATCTCACAATAGTTCAATAAATAATTCACTGGGTTCCTACCTGGAACTAAGTGACAGAGAAACAGAAATGAGTAAACATGGTCTGTGCCAGCACAGGGTTCAGTACTACAGGCTGACCCGGAGACAAAACACTTCTGGTTTTCTCCTCTGTGATCTTGCAGGTTTTGCTCACACTTTGTTAGTTTCCAATACAGAAACAAGTTAATCAACTCTGGGCTCCACAAATATGGGGGAAAAAACGTGTTTAAAAGAAGCCTGCCCCCCGTAAGCAGCAGGGCAGCACGCCTACTGCGGCTCCGATCCTTTCTACCCATCGCTCTGCTGCTTGCTGCTCAGTCTGGGGGTGCCCGGGGCCCTTCACTCTGTCGACTGTGGCGGGCTTAACTAACCTCCAAAGATAAGTGTTCCTGCAGCAGTTCGCCTACTTTCCTAATTATAGTTTGATATACAGTCGGCCCTTCGCATCCGTGGACAGGGAGGGTGGACTATGAAACCCAAGCAAGCATCTGCGGGTCCTGGCATCCAAGGCGGGTCCTAGAGCCAATTCCCCGTGGATACCAAGGGATGACTTATGTTACCGAGCACATTTTTATTGCCACTAACTTTTTTTTTTCTGTGTTGATACTGTTAAAAGTACAATCCAAAAATATACAGTCAGGGAATACACAGAGAAGACAACGCAGCTAGCGTAAAGTTTTTGATGGGCTCTAACGTTAAATTTTAAGGCCAATCTAAATCTGAAAGGAAACAACTTTTGACTAAGAATTTAAAGTCTTGATAAACAACATATAGAACTAAAAAACGAAACACAAGAATATAAAATTACCTGATGCTTTGCTCTCTTCTTTGGGAGAAACAACCTGTTACAAAAGAAAATACACAACTGTTAATCAAGGCCCTAGATGCAGTGAGGAAAAACTGATCATTCAGGCACTGAACAGAATCATAGCCAGAACGTGGACTCAGGCAAAAATTAATTTTGGCTTGAACTTGCAGAGCAAACCATGGCACCTAACAGATCATTTCTGCCTCCTTCCTCTTCCCTTTCAAATCAGACAGCAGGCAGAATTACTAACTTTTCTGACTAGTGAGTTCTGAGCACTAAGTTTCACGCCCTCCATCGAGCTGTCTTAACCGTGGTGAGGGTGCTTGCTGACCGCCCCTATCCCGTGGGGCTTCCTTGGGGTCTGTGTCACAACGTACGGCTTCCTCCACTGGCGCGGCTGCTACCATGGGGAGAAACTTTTACAAATACCCCCGTGTCGTTTAAAGACATGGGAGACACCTATTCCGGCAGTCAGTGTGCAGATGTGGAAACTACACCCGGGCACGTTTTGGGGCCCTGACACAGGCAGCAGCGGCTGGAGGAGGACAGAGCCGTCCTGGCTCCAAAAGGTACCTCTCCTCTGACCAGGCCAGCTGTCAGGCTGCCTGTGGCCATACAGGCAGACGGGGAGGTGCATCGTGTCACTCCCTGCTTCTGGTGTTCCGTGTGCTGCCTCAGAAAGGGGCACACACACAGGTGGGGTGCCGCCACGGGAAGCCGGCTGCACCCAGCGCCAACCTGGCGCACTCACCACAGCGCGCTTCGCCTGCCGGGGGGGACTAGGCTGCGGGGACGGTTTCTTGGGCTGCTGGGCCGGTGGTGGTGGCTGCGGCTGGGCTGGCTGCTGCGAGTCCTTCTGCGGGGGCTGGGGCGGCTCGGGGCCTTGAGGCGGCTGTGACTGCGGCGCTGGCGGCGCGGGCGGCGTGGGCTGGAGAGACGGGGGCTGCTGTAGCTGCTGGGGCGTGTGATGAGGCATCTGTTGTTTCCCTTGTGAGTAAAGATCCAGGATCTGGTGGCAGATGTCTAAATGATAGGAAACAATTACATTTGCCACAAATTGATATTTTAAGTAAAATTCTACCTAGAAAAAAACATACTCCCATTTCCCTTGCAGGTGCGATTCCCCAACAAGGGCCAATATGTGTAATTCATATTTGTAATTCACCAATCCCTGGTGTGCACAGCACTGGTGTGCATTTTTAGTTCACCAAAACTAGGTGTTTGGATAGAATGAACATTACATTAGAGAATTTAATTAAAGAATAGTTTGCATGGACTTGTTTGGGAGAATCCATTCTCGGGACTCATTCTTCCTCACAGGGAAGAATGATCTAAATGTGGAACACCCTGCAGAAAGCTCAGCACGCCCCATACCTTCCAAAACATCCACAGGGACGTCTTGCACAAACTGCTCCCACCATCTCCGGTACATGGGTTTGGAGGTCCATTCCTGTATTTCAAATTTGCACAAACGTCCCGCAAGATACATCACTGCCACTGCTATGATCTCTGGTTCCCACTGTAGTGACAAGGTCGTGCAGAGACTAGTTCAACAAGAAAAAGAGGTGACTTGACTTGGATGAGCAAACGTTTATGATTAACCCAATGCATGGAGATTAGATGCCATATCTAAATGTCAGTTTGCTTATTTTTCCCTATACATGATCAAATAAAGTATTATAAAGAAGCAAGTTTTTAGTCTTCTAAATGTACCGAGATAAGTTACTTTAACCATAGCTACTAATTTGTTCCTTAAAAAATCAGAATTCCAGCACATTCAAAAATTGCTATGTCGGGCTTCCCTGGTGGCGCAGTGGTTGAGAGTCCGCCTGCCGATGCAGGGGACGTGGGTTTGTGCCCCGGTCCAGGAAGATCCCACATGCCGCGGAGCGGCTGGGCCCGTGAGCCATGGCCGCTGGGCCTGTGCGTCCGGAGCCTGTGCTCTGCAACGGGAGAGGCCACAACAATGAGCGCCCCGCGTACAAAAAAAAAAAAAAAAAAATTGCTATGTCATGAAATACAAATGAAAATGCTTAAGTTCTTCAAACGGCTGGAACCCTAGCACTGAACCATCTCCTTACATGATGGCAACTCCACTTGCGGGCATTCTGTTCCCTATCCAGCACCTCCTTAGATCTCTCAGCTCCAAGAACATCAAGGCTCTAAAACCACTACAAGGAAGTATAAAGTTGCAAATATATAGTTTGCAATTTTGCAAAACAAAATGGATTTAAGTATATACGTGTCAAAATTCTCTGGTGTATTGTTTAGGACTTATGTTTCAAACCGGTGATAAGATTTCAGCATCCTATACCACCGTGATGTGGCAGGGTATCCCCTCTGCCGGGAAGCAGGTGACCTGGACTTTAACTCCAAGTCTGCCGTTAACTGGCTCCTTAAGCTGGGGCAAGTCAGTTTCCTGACTACAAAATAAGGGGTTTGGATTAGGATTAGATGACACGTAAAATCCCTACCTATTTTAAAACACCATAATTAAACCAACATTTGAACCCATGTACCTGTCGTTTACGAATGTCCAAGCCATTTGAACCAACTTTTGAATTTTGTTTTTATCACCTAGAAACGGGGAAGAAAAGGCAAATTAGTAATAGAAAGGGAAAAAAAAAAAGAAGAATGAATGAGAAGCAACAAGTACTTATTTAAAGCCTACTGTGTGCTTAGCACCACCCCCAATACACAGCAAAGAGCTTCTGCCTGGGAAACAAGGACAAATGAGTGGGCCCAAGTCCCACCTCTGTTCTCTTTCTGCATGACCTACACTGAACCACCATTTATGGGAAACCTGGCTCCAAGCCTGATTTTATTAGGCTATTTAAAAAATCCTTACTCATTTTCCTGCCTCATATCACTTGGCAACTGGATGACAGAATCTGTTTATACATAAAAGGAAACAGTGCTAACAGCTATAATATTGAATTGTCTGGCAAGCTATGGCCTAGGTACTTCACACACTGAACTTTCTGCTGTCCTCTTTTGAGAAGCGTAATCTGAGTATCATCAAATTATTATAAAGATCTGATTTCAGAATGAAAAAGTTCTCTTAACTTTTTTTTCTTACCTTTGAGCTGTTTCGCGTACTTGAGTAGGAATTGGTACGGATGTTCCACCTGTAAATCAAACTTTATGGTCTGTAGTAAGATTCTCTCCAGAACCATTACTTCTTCCTAAAAATGAAATAACAAATGTTGAGACAGTAATTTCAATCACACGTCAGAAACAGCATTAAAAAAGTGAGCTTTCCTTTTATTCTCTCTTCAAGTTATATTTTAGCAACTATTTTTCATTCCTTTTCTCCTCTCTCCCACTCAGGCCTTTAACATGCTCACAGACAATGATAAATTCTGAAAAGAACTAAAAGTAGGAAGACAAAACAATCAGAGTTAATTTTTCAAACCTACTTGAAACAAAGTACACATTCTTAGAAATGTTATTATTTTCCATACAGATGAGTCCCCTTTACAAAATAGACCTTTACTTTACAGATACTTTAGTTTCCTCCCAGACCTCCA